ACAAAGGGAGACCCTGCCTCAAAATACTGGCCCCCCCAAAAAAGAGATTGTAGAGAATTGGCATAATTTTTCCCTTAAATGTTTGGTAGAGTTGATCAGTGAACCAATCTGAACCAGCTGGTAATTCTTATCTTTATTCCTCTATAGGGAAGGTGTTTTCCCCTATACATTACTTCCTTTCAGAATCCTTTCTTTATTTTTCTTTTTTGTGGTTTCAAAATAACAAACCTAGGTGTAGATTTTTGACATTTATCCTGCTTGGTACCCTCTGAACTTCCTAGATCTGTGGTTTGGTATTTGACATTAATTTTGGAGAAATTCTTAGACATTTCTTCAAATATTTCTTCTTTTCTATTTTTCTTGATTCTAGTATTTCCATGATGTATAAGTTACACCTTTTATGTTTGTCCCACAATTCTTGAATATTCTGCTCTAATTTCTTTTCTTAATTTGGAAGGAGGTTTCTACTGAGATATTCTAAAGCTCAGACTCTTTCCTTAGCTGTGTCCTGCTTACTAATAAGACCATCAAAGGCATTCTTTATTTCTGTTACAGTATTTTTGATCACTAGCATTTCTCTTTGGTTCCTTCTTAGAATTTCCACCTATCTGCTTACATTGCCCATCTATCCTTGCATGCTGTTTATTTTATCCATCAAAGTACCACACAAATCATAGTTGTTTTACTTATTCATTTAGTGGTACTGGGATCAAACCCAGGATCTCATGCATGCTGAACATTCACTCTGCCACTGATGTTCACTCTCAGAAACCTAATCATAGTTGTTTTAAATTCCTGGTTTGATAATTCCAATGTCACTATCCTATCTGAATCTGATTCTGACATCAGTTCTGTTTCTTCATACTGTTTTCTCAATTTTAGGATACCTTGTAATTTTTTTTGATAGCTGGATACAATATACTGGATAAAAAGTGTGTGGTGCTGGTAAGGTGTGAGGGGAGGGGAAGCAGTCTACAGCCCCATGCTTAGGCATCATCCTTCAGTGAGCCAGAATCTCTGAGCTGTGAAGTTCACATGAGTTTCTCACACACTTCCACTCTATCCCCTGGGAGAGCCAGGATGGCTACTGTGACAGGAGATTGGTATTTCTGCTGCTCTGTGTGGAGGGGCTCTTTTCCTTCCTTCAGGCCAGTTATGTTCTCCAGCAGTTTAGACTCTGGTTAAGTAGTTTCTCCTAAAGGTGGACTTGTTAAGAGGGACATAAACTCTGGTGGTTTTCAGAACGGTTTATTTTATCCTCTCCTGCAGGAATCGAGAGGATTTTTCCCTGATATTCACTATGGGAAACCGAGAGAGCTGATGGAGGTAAAACTCACAAAAATGTGCCTTCTACTGCGATGGTGCCTGGTTCCCTTGGAGATTTCATCACTTAGACTTGCCCACATGGACCTTCCAGCAATTTGGCAATTATGTTTCAGATTTCCCAACCCCTATGCTGGTTCCTTGAGGGTGGTTTCTGCTCTCTTGTGATTCTGTCTTGACCTGTGGGCCTCCCCCGTTTTAGGGGTGAGAGCTTGTCCTATAATGCACTTCTCTTATGGATCTAAGAAGAGCTGGCGATTCTTCAGTTTGTTCAGCTTTTCACTTATTAAAACAGACTGCTGGGGCCAGGGATTTAGCTCAGTGGTTTTGCCACTTGCTGTGCAAGCGCAAGGACCCGAGTTCGATCCCCGGTACCAAAAAAAAAACAAAACAAAACAGACTGCTGACTTCTTATACTTTCTTATATGGACCAAAAATTTGAAGTCCCACGAGTAACTTTTTAGATTACCTTATTGTTGGGCACACTCAATCCCACCCCAGGAAGGACAGTTTGTTGATTTTGAACTCAAGTCTGATTCATCCCGTAGAAATCCTCAAGCAGTGATGTGTATTCAGGAAGCCCATAACAATATGTTACAACAAAGCCTTGTGTTACTTGCCAGTGAGAAGTACAAGTTCTTTCTGGACAAAAACATGCGGGACAACAATATGTGATTTTATTGGCTGTTGACTTACATGTCTGGTGGAGACGAGGGAGACTATGAAGACAATTCACAGGTGGACAGTGTTTTTCAAAAGTTGCCAAACACTTATCACACACCACCAGCTGGAATTCCAAATTTCAATGAACTGGGTTCCTACTTACCAGAGAGGCAGATGTACAAATAGAGAAATGCAATCCTGGCTAATGAATGCCATAGATAAATGCAATCAAAACCAGGAGTGATGAATTCCTTCTTCCAGTATTTGAAGGCCTCAACTATAGTGATGGTGACCAGAAACTGAGTCTGGAGAAGTCAAACCCCTGTAGCTGTCCCGTAGTCATCCAGCTACGAAGTTTTGAGCAGCCGTCAGTGTCGCTATTTCTATCATTGAGTCAGCCGATGCTTCCTCTAGACCTGTTCCAGCCTGGAGTAAATGCATAGGAGCAGGAGCCAGCCGAGCTGGATTGCGTTTGCCAAATGTTGTGAGCCACCTGCTGATCCCTTTGTAGCAGTAGGAGGAAGCTATTTACCTAGTCAAACTGCAGTGATTTTTTAACCCCCATTGTTCTCTTGTGCAATGGCTCCCAGCAGAAGAGCTCCCTGCATAAAATCAGACCAGGAAACTGTAGTGTAGGAATCCTACACGGGGACGGAACTCCTCACTGTCTCATTCAATTGCGTTCATGAAATCTGAAGATTTACTCCTCCTCCTATCAAATGTAATATGATATATTTATCAAATTATAAATATATTTGATATTTATAAGCGTCAAAGATGGGAGTGCATCTGTGGTTATCTTGACTATAGGAGATAATATGTTTACCTTCAGCCTGGGTTTTGGTGGGCAGTCAAGCCAGTTGTTTTAGGGGAAGACAACAATGATGTGTAGTGTGACCAGCAGCTACCCCTTCAACATGTCATCTTGAAGAGTTTGGAAAATAAGAGAGGAGTACAAAATAAGTAACTGTGATGGTTAATTTTATATATCAAGTTGACTAAATTATTGTACCCAGATATTTATTTGTCAGACACTGGTCTCAATGGTACCACGAAGGTGTTTTGTAGAAGATGAGATTTGTGTTTAAGTCAGTAGACTTGAATAAAACAGATCATCTCTGTAGCATGGGTGGGCCTCACCCAATCAGTTGAAAGCCTGAAGAGAAAAAAGATAGAAGACCTGAGAAGAAGAAGAATTTCAGCTGCCTTGGTGCTCTAGCTGCATCTTCATCTCCTGTCTGGGTCTCCGGCCTGGTGGCCACCCCCTGCCTGCTTCCACAGACATGTGAGCCAAGCCCTTAAGTCTTTTTTTTTTTTTTATTATATGCCGTGTAGTCAGGCCTTTCAGCTTCAAATCTCAGCCCACAAAAACAGATCTGCATGAGTGTCTATACTTTTCTATAACAGTAATTATCATTTTAGGTCCCCATCCATATAGGTGGTAGAAATTCAGGGTAAATCATTTTGACTCTTCACCTAAATTTACAGTCCTAAGTCATTTGCAGAGCCCCACCTGACCCTCAATATCACCTGTCATCACAGGCATTGTCTGAAACTATCCCTCGGGCTAGTTGCAGTAAAGTTTACTCAAGCTCTTTCAGTTAAAACATATTGACTGAGATTAATCTTTAAGAATCTGAAGAGGGAAGTAATTCCCCAAATATTTCCTAGAGGTTGCCCAGCATAGATAAACCACAGCTACAGGTCGGTACAGCACAGAGTCCAACGAATGTGGGGGCGGAACACACCAACTCCATTATCATTCCAGGAAATGGATTCCACAGATTATTGCTTCCAGATGACTCCATCCATGCTGAGGTCTCTCATGGGTGTGTCTCATAAAATAATTTTGATTCTACGTCCACATGATTTTTGCAAGATGTTGGTATTCTTTTGAGGTTGTGGGGTTTGGAGTGGTTATGGCAGGCCACCATAGATCATTAGCCTCTCATCTTTATGATCATCACCAGCTACACAGTGACAGCTGGTAGTGCTGGGCTGGTCCTTGGTTGTCACCCTGTGCAGCTTGTTATGGAGACATCTTTATTCCTTTCCGGCCTGGTGACTCTCTCTGGTACATCTGTGCCAGTTTGGTCTCATAGGAACTATTCTTCTCCCCCTAAGATGTGCTTTCTTTTGTAGGGTCACGTTGCTTCCTGTGGCTCTAGTCGGGAAATAGGCCCATTCAGTTTTGAACTGTACAACTGTCAGGGGCAAGTAAGGGCTGATCCATGCCTACCATTGCAAACTTTGCCTCTTAGCCTTTGCCCTACCCTCAGAGGGCAGTGATGACTTGCTTGTGGTATTCAGGAAACACCATCCCAAGTCCTTTGTCTGTGCTACATGTCTTTTCGTATCCTTTCTATTAGCACAGAATGAAGTGAAGACCGAGTCAGAGAGGGGAAGGAAAAACTGTGGGAGAAAAGTAGCATTTCAAAGTTATTATTCTGTATGACAGGTAGGTAAGGCCATGGGGAATGTTAGTATGTTGTTCCTATAAAGAAGTTATTCCAAAGGAAAAAGTGAGAAAGAATGAAGAAATGGATTGGGAATATTATTTTGTTAGAAAACCAGTGATCATTTCTGCTCATTTTATCCTAACTCCCATTTGTATTATTTGATGAAAATTTTCAGGAGTGAGATATGTCACTATTTTACTACTTTACACATGAATATCATATATGCCTATTTCTGGGCACATTAATAAGTTTTATAATTCAATAAATTGCAGGCACTTAGTAAATTTTTATTAACTGAAGGAATGATAAAAAGCAATGGGCATAATTGGATATGTGAATGCAGCACAGGGCTATGTGGGTAGGAGGAGCTTCATAAATAAGAATAAAAATTAGTCTGATAGTTTCTCTTTCTCAAATGGTATTTTGTAGTCTTGGGGACTTGAAGACATACATTAGGGAATGTATTTCATTAACAGGTCTTACCCAAGCACTTGGCTATTGGATGTTGGCACAGGTAAAAAGCAAACAAACACCAGAAAGGCGTGTGAGGAGGACTGGACTTTAACTCCTCAATTGGAGGTTGCTATAGTAGAGCTGAGCTGAGAAATGGATCATTGAGATCAAAGGCTGTAAGTTATGATGTTGGCCTTTTAAAAAGTCAACTCTGCTCTGAATGTCATAGTTTACAACTTTCAACCGGACGCTACAGCATGGACTCGTGGTCTCTGCCTTGGTCTCTGCTCTTTGGCATCCTTCTCGGGGTTTCCGGCTTGGTAAGGAAACAGTGTACAGAAAACAGCTAGAATTATTGGAAGCAGTTGACATCAATCAGTCATGAACAACTGTTAGGTCACTTTTTAAAAAGGTGTATTTGAAAATGTTAATCTCAAATGAGTTTCCTTTTTGGTGGTTGGGGCTGGTTGGCAGGATACAGGGAGTAAAAAGGAACCTCACCAGAGAGAGAATAAGAGACATTGACATAAAGTTATGCTTTTCTTTCAGTTTCATTGTGGTAGAACAAATTTTCCTTTGATAAGATGGAAAATGAGGATTTTAAAAATCATTCTGTTTTTATTGCCGAATGAAATACAGATTGCTGCTAGGGTAACTTGAGACATGAGTGAAAAGACTGACAAATATCAAAGGCACAGTCAATACTTATAAAGTTGTATAGCATAGGATTTCTCTTCTGTGTTTTTGTCAGTTTAGACTAATCTTTCTACAATGATAGATAGCTCATACCAAAAAGCAATGAGGGCTTTTAAATGAAGTTTCCAATGGCTTGGGGAGAAAACCTTTAGTGATGATTTAAAATAACAGTTATTATATTGAGCTGATAGTCTATGAATAGAAGTGAGAGTGCTACCATTAAGATATACCTTCTAAGGTATGTAAAACTGTAATTAAGAACAGAGACTTGGTAACTATGTTACATTCTTCTGTGAGTGTCCGCTTGTGTGTGGTTGTAGTATGAGTCAACCAAGGCCCTTGCTAATGTTGAAAATAGTGCTAACCATATAACTGATTCATTCTCACATCTAGTTAAAAGCTCCAAATGATTTTGTCCGTAGATGTATAGGCTGTATTTGAATATAATTGTACTTTGTACTTGTGTTTCTGTTAATTTTACAATGTGCTTTTACATTATATCATATAACCCTCATAATATTCATGAAAAGTAGGTATTGATCATATTTTATGTAGTTTAAATACCAGGAAGGTAAGCTAAATTACTGTTCGTTGGTGATACCAGTAATATAACCCACATCCACAGTCTACCAGGTCCATAAAGTTTTTTATTAGATTATATTAACTAAGAAATTTCTTGGGCTGATGTTTCTCAGTTGTTTTTACACCGGGTATTTAGTCTGAATTTTGTCGGTCATTTGTAGACATTCTATTTTCAGAAAATAATACTTTTTAAAGTGTATAATGTACTCATTGTTTTTTTCTTAGATATTTGGTATTGTCTTTGAAAGCAGAGCATTGGGGAGAGTCATGAAAATAAAACGGGATTAAGGAGATATTAAATACAATTTCATTTAAAAGTAATTTTACAAATACAATAATATTTTAACACTGGGAATACATTTTTAGATTTTCTGGTCATTGTACCTAAAGTCTTTAGAAGATTATGTTTAAAGTAAACACTAATTTGAGGGCTAGAGTCTTATGTTCTTTCTTCTTTTCTTTTTTTACTGTTTTTTTTTCTTTTTGGGGCACTGGGGATCGAACTCAGGACCTTGCAAGGCAGGCGGCGGCACCACTGAGCTAAATTCCTGCTCCCTGTTTTTTTTTTTTTTTTTTTTAGTAGTACGTGTTTCTAGTACACAATGATCACGTTCCTCATGGTGCTCTTCATTCTTTTCAATTGTTGAAGTTGTTTTCTCATTTCTTTTATCTTGAAATTTATTTAACAGGCAGTTTTAGTTTCTATATGAAGCAAGAAGATGATGTGAAAGCATCATCTTCGACTCTAACTTTGTTGTCTTGAGTATATACCAGAAATTAATACGTAACAGTAATGAATAAATGACAACAATAATGTATAGTTGTAAATTGGAACCAAGAATGCAATTATATCATGGGCATCATAATAATATCTTTTTTTATGTGTTTGTTTCCCAGCCAACTCCAGAAAATTTTGGTGAGTCTATTTTGAGTTTTGTTCTAAATTAATAGTAAAAGGAGGTTACGTGCCTAATGGAACAACAGAAGGACTTGGAATATATTGAACTCCAAGCATAACGCATAATTGCATATGTAGCACTGACATGTAAAAATTGCATTTAAGTTTGGTTCAATGCTGGTTTCTTTTTATTTATCAGAGGACATTTTATTCTTTATGTTCTAGCATCCACATGCTCTGAATAAAAATATATGGTGACATAAGGAAGGCCAACTACAATGACAGAGACATAGACATTCTATACAGGCTGGCTTGCTATTATTGTTTTGGCTATTTTATGTGAAGTCAGATGACCCTGATAATACAGTCTGTTCCTACTCAGTTACACACTTAGGGATGTGGCCATGTTATCCACCTTCTTTTACACCTTGAAAGAGTAATTTTAGTTTAACTTGAGAATTATGCTCAAGAATTCCAAGGTACATTGCTAGCAGGGGATTTACTCGTGTAAATAGATGGGGCTGTTTGGCTAATTTTTAGCATTTATTTCTTGTTTAGTTATATAATCTGGTCTTCCAAGTTAAGCTTAATAATACACAAAGTGACCAGCTTCTTATTTCTGAAGTCATGTGACATTTAAGTACTGTGGATAGGACAAGGTACATATACAAAAACCCTTTCTTTAGTCCTTAGCCTGGTCCGTGGGAGGTTCTCAATCAATTAATAAATCAAGCTATGCTGAATCAATCAAGCTATGCTGAAGACAAGCAAAACAAACTCATTTACTTGTGATTATATAATTGATAAAGATTTTCTCCTTTCCTAATGTAATGTTTGATGTGTTTTTTTTTTCTTTTTTCTTTTAGTCAAAGATATAGATGCTGGAATTGATCAGGATATATTTGATATCAATGAAGGTTTGTGGATTTCTTTCTTTTTTTGTGGATTTCTTTTTTAAACGTCATCTGTTATGTGCACAGTTTGAATCCAATGTACTGACATGAATTTTTGTCTTCACATTGCTCTTAGATTTGGGACTGGAGCTTTTTCAGGGAGACATCAGACTTGATCGGGTAAGTTACAACAGTGAAAGAAGGAAGGATCTTCTAGTGATCCCTGAAAGCTAAATACAGAGTAGCTGAGAATGATTGGACAACCTAATTAAAGCCCTATAATTTCTTGCTAGATTTTTCTCACACCCTTCTAGTTTGTCTATTTCAATTGTCTTCCCACAGCCATTTCTACCGTGTACCTGTCCCAATCCCTCATAGCAAAGGCATCTTTTAAATAAGCAATGACACGATTTTCTTCTTGGCTTGAACCTGTTAAGCACAGCCATCTCTATGGGCACAGAATCACAGCGGTTCATTTACTCACTGCATACATTGTCCTCCAAGAGACTCGTATGATGTCTCCATCTCTCATTCCTCAGATTTCTGTGAGTAAAGCCACCATCACCCATGACATATGTCTTTATCTTATTGGTCAGATTGATTTTCATTATTGTAGCAATGTGAAACATTTTCATTTAAAAATAAAACTTCACTGATCCAATCTAGTTGAATCAAAATTCAACTGACTTTTTAAACATCTTCAATGAATCAGGCTTTTTGTCATGAAAAATAGATTTTGTGATTTCTCCTGACTCCACTAAAGATAGCCTTGGCAAGGAGGGTCCTCCACACTGGTTCATAAAGAGTGCTGATTGTTATTGATCACGACGCATAGATGAACATATATGTGGATTTACATGTCGATTTAGGGGAATTTTATTTATTTATTATTTACTTATTACAGAGTCAAAAACCTTTAGAAACTTACTATCACTCTATTTTGCAAGCAAAAGGTCTGGAGTTCGATCCCTGGTACAAAAACAAACAAACAAACAAATGAAAACACCTTACTATCCCTTTGGTAATGATGAGAGAAAGAGAGTGTTTGCTTAGGAGCATGTTTATAAAATGTTATATATTGGGGAATCTATGAAAATAAGAGAAAATAATTTGACAAGATCCACCATAATTTGAAGTACATAACCTTTTGACTTGGAGATTATCTAGTTGCCCTTTTTTTCTGTGAAATTCTGCTTTTCCCTCAGGCGTACTCCTGAGTCACTTCCTTATCCCTCTGTATCCAAAGTGCTGCTCTCACCACCCCCCCAAGCAGAGCTGCAGTCCTTAGAGTCTGCTTAGTCCTGGGCCTGTTTTTCCTTTCATCTGCATTCTCTCACCTGTGCCAGGGTTTTAAGAGTCATCTCTGTTCCAGTGACATCAGGAGAATGCTAGTGCTGCTCTTACCCAGGGCTCCAGTTGGGTCCATCCAATACCACTTTACCAGCCCCATCTAAACCTCTACAAGTGTCTCACACCTAAGCTACCCTCTGGTCCTTCCCCCAATACCTTCCTCCCTTGCCTCTCCTTCTTGTAAAGTCATCAGCAGTCTCTCACCCGACTCCACTAAATAAATAGAAACTTCAGGATCTCCTTCCTTTCTTCCCTTTTCCTCATTCCCCACCCACCCCGCCAGTAAGTTCTGTCCTCATCTCCAACATCCACCCCAGGTTGTCTGCTTTACTCTGTCAGCCTAATGCAAGCCCCATAGTTTCTTGCTAGATTTTTCTCATAGCCTTCTAATTTGCCTTCCTACTTCAGTTACTGCCCTCCCACAATCTTTTCTACCTTGTAACTGTCTCCCTCCCCCACAGCAAACTCATCTTTTAAATAGGCAGCAACGCTACTTTATTCCTGGCTTGGACCTCTTTAGCAGCTTCCTATTGCATTCAGTTACACCATCCAGGCCTTCCATGGTTTAATACTTGCCTCCTCCTCTTCTCTGAAATCATCTACTCTCTCTCCTTACTTATTAACTACTTGTCCGCATCTCCTTTTTAAAAAAATTTCCTCCACAACCCTTAAATTCATCTTGTTTAACTTTGTTTTCTTTCATACTGTTTTTTTCCCCTCTAGGTACAAGAAAAGTAAAGATAAACCCTGGTTTATTTATTATCAAGGGAAACTGGTTCCCTGGAATAACATTCAGTTATTATTAACTGGATGGATACATTAACAAAATATTATTAATTTTCTATTTTAAAATTTAAAATCCCTCTAAACATTTGGAATACTTTGGCCCAGCTCATGTGGGACTTTTCTGATATTGTGGGATACAGATTTTTGAGGCTTTGCTATTACTTCTTTCTTGTATATTTTTAATCTCTAAAAAAAATCTACCAATATTTTTAGGTCAGT